CGGGCACTGCCCGAGGGCCCGGGGTCAGTAGGAGCCCCATGAGATGCCCCTGGTACCTTTTTCATAGGCTTTTTTGAGTTTGGGCAAGGACACAGGGGCCCCATGATCCCCTATTGCCCGGGGGCCCCACGAGTTGTCAGTCCGCCCCTGGGTTCCGTCCATACAGCTGCATCATTCATTCATGGCTTGCAGTTTTCAATGAATTACCACGGCACTGTGGAGCGCCGTGATAGTTCATTGAAGCTTCCTGTCATAATATCTGCTTGCTCGTACATCCCGTACGGCAAGTAGATATTGTAACAGGTCTGCAGGAGACCTGCATGACATCACTGATCAACTGATCGCTGGTGCAATGCTTTGCAGGCTCCTGTAGACAAAAATAATAAATGCACTTTTTTTTTTTTTTTACCTGCAAACAAATGTGTTTTTATTATTTTTGTCTAAAAAGTGAACTTTATCCTGTAAGCAGTTTTCTCTCTATGGAGTTTTTTTTCCAGATCTTCTTGGGTATTAAATAACTTGGCCAGAGCTATGTATTATGCTGTTTAAAAGGATACAAAGTTAATTTAAAAGGAAAATGAGAAAAAAATGAATTCTGAATCCGGTTACGTCCTATTTGCAAGTGAGTTCAAGAGGAGAGGACACCCGACATCTATGCTACACCAGTCTATTAAAAAAGATGTTTTGTTGTACTCTTGCATAAACTACATATGTGGGATCTCATGAGTGCAACAACTGTTTGTTGTTGCTTTGGGTGACTGGATAAGAGTAAAACATAGTGGCTTGCGGTCCTCCTCCTGTGGTTATAAGGGGTATAAGAGTATATGTATTTCCTGACCGTTATTATGTGAAATGGTCTGAAATGCACCCCTAAGCAATATGTATACTGGTTCTCTTTCTGGAGAGCTGGAGAACTGAATAGACACATAGGGGTTTATTTACTAAAGCTGGAGAGTCCAAACTCAGACTCCCTTCTGCATAGAAACCAATCAGCTTCTAACCTCAGCTTGTTCAATGAAGCTTTGGCAATGAAACCTGGAAGCTGATTGGTTTCTATGCAGAAGTGAGTCTGATTTTGCACTCTCCAGCTTTAGTAAATAAACCCCATAAGGTCATCTCTCTTGTCCCAGGGAGTGAATGGGCAGCATTTCACCAGGGGGCAAAACCTTCCCTTCTATTTGGGTGAGTGAAGGGCTCCAATTGTTGGCTCAGGAAGTGACCAAACAATTAGGGTCATGTTCTGGGAGGGACTGGGTATTATTGTTCATTTTGATTACAAAGGATGTCACAATAGAGGACAGTCATGGCAGTTGTGTAATGCATACATCCACTTCACTTGAGTTCAGTGTGAGTTAGTACTGTCCACCCTAGAATTTATCAGAACTGATAAAAGCTTTGACAGTAATTGGTTGATTGCAAATTGAGGCTGCTTTGTACTTACATCCTTTCTTAACTAGAGGAGATTAAAGTTGTTTCTTGGTCTAAAAAGGGGGGGTTTCATACATAAATAGCCTAGGTGTACAAACAACTGACGGAATACATTGGTTTCTAGGTATTGGAACAGCAGTCTAGAAATGAGCTGTTATGTTAATGATAATGGCCCATAAGGGAACGTAATATCACTCTGGAAGTTCATAAATGTGCCTGGAACCTTATTACTTGCAGACATGTAGCCATGGACATGCAGATTGAGTAATAAACCCAAACCTGTGAGTAACTATCCCCTTGCAGTTTGGATATGACACACACTAGGCAAGAAACATATTTTTATATAGAGGAAAGATGGGAACCTCAAATGTACACCAAAAATATACCTGTTTGAAAACCTTGTGATGATCAAAATTCCTGAGACCCCGTTAATAATTTTATCTCCGTTATCTTTCATTTTATCTCCATTATCTTTCAATTTCATGATCACCTGAAAAGTATACATACAGTATGTATCTATAAATGTTATGAACTGCCCTTTTACAAAAACAAAGTTATGATTTGGGGTTACAGGTACCATTAAAATGTTTTTTTTTGTGTTCACTAAGAAAAATAAAGATCTAAAATTCTGGACTATTTTAGGCCCATGAAGCACTAGAGTTGTGTAACGCTGCATTATAATTATTTAAAGCTTTCTCACAGCAATTTATAACAATTACAGTGAAAATTAAACATTTATAACAACCTAAAATATATAAAGGGTCTGTGTTGTATGCCGTCGCTTCATTACATAACTTTCCCAGGACTTTAAAATCCTGATGCGTGAAAAGGAACAAGCCAGATAGACATGACTGCAGCCCCCTCTAGTGGAAATGATTATTGCAGTGTTTGGGGTACATGCAGTTAAACATCTAATCATTTTCTTGATCTTCTCTTTTTTTATTTGTATGTTCTCATAATTTTAAAAATGTTTAGGAAGCTATATTCAGATTCAGTTTAAAGGAGAACTAACTTGGACTGTCATTATTCCAGGAATATTGTTCAGTTATTGTTCCCTAAGAATATGGAGTGAGGCATGATCTGTGCCATTTGCTCACCATATGAACATGAAAAGCAGATGTTGGTGTAAACCGCTTCTGTCGACCTTTTCTGCCTGAATGGCTAGTAGTGAAAAATCCTGAATCCTTTAATACACTTTTCATAAGACAAAAAAAAAAATAAATATATATATATATAATATGTATGTGTGTGTATGTATGTATATATGTGTGTATGTGTATATATATATATATATATATATATATATATATATATATATATATATATATATATATCTCAAATAATAATTTACTAAAGTTACAAAAAAAAAATCACAATATCCACTTAAAATTAACACTTAGCAATTAAGTGTTCTTTTTTGTGTCTGTTTTTTTTATTTCATGAATCATTATATTTTCCACCTTAACAGCTCCTTTTTGTATATAGTTGACACCTCAGAGCTAGCATTAAAGTGACTGTGAATCTCTTACATGAAATTTGAACAAAGCATATCCCTCATTTGCGTGTACCTGTCTCTGTCCAGACACAATGTATCATTTCTCTCTGCTGTCCTATTTCTATGCTATCTGCATCACTTCTCACAGGTTTTCCTGAGACAGAAGTAAAAAGATGAAAAGGGAGGGAGCTCCAGCACACAGCCTGTGATTTGACAGTTGTAGCCCTGTTCCTGTGTACTCTGTGAAGGGGGAATGTGTCCCTTCTCTCCAGTCAGTTCTTGGAGCTTTTCTGCAGAATGTAATTTCAGCTCCCTCCCCCTGCTTTCTGAAAGCTCAGACTAGCTCTATAAATTTTGCACTTTGAACAACTGTAGAGGAGAGAGAGCTTCAGATAAACGGGTACAATTTATGTAGGAGGGTTTGGGTCAGGTTAAAGGTCAGCAGGTTAGTAAGAGGGGAGAGGTTAAATATTAGGTTGCTTGATCGTGTTGGGATGATTGTTATACAAACCAAAAACACTGTAATTAATTTTTTTAGGATTCAAAGCAAACTCCCCCATCCACTCATGTCTCCATGCTTTATTTTGCTGAGAAATCACTTTCAACCCCCCCCCAGCATTTCTACCAGTGGTACCTAGTACCTTCCAGGCTAGTGCTTGTACATTCAGGGCTGTCCGAATACAATGTCTCCGTAAGGGGGATTCCTGCATCCACATGGATTCCAGCTCACTGGCTGAAAAGCAAAACCAGTGTGTACTCAGCTTTACACTTTCTTATCAGACATGTTCTCATTACGCTTACCAATCACTATAGATATTGCCTACACCATAGTATGTCTGAGAAAGCTACCACAAGTGACAGATGCGACCCCGGATTGCAGGGGAAGGGGAGGGCGGCCAGGATCCACACTAGATGCTATGGCAAGGGTGCTTAACCTTTTGAAGAGTGAGGGCTACTTAAGTTGTAGGATAACCAGTCACGGGCCACAATCAACCATGGGGTTTTAACCCCATCCCCCCCCCCCCCCTCAAACCACAAATGTAAAGGAACGCTTACTGTTCTGAGCCCCATATGGAGGCTGCTTTCACACTGATGTGCTGTGATTTACCTGCAGCGCAGTGCACCTGTGGTTTTCCTGCGGGTTACCTACACTTTGCCTTACATTTCTATTATATCTTGCAGGTGTGTAGTTCACTTTCTGAAAGCACACCCAAACTACTGCATTCAGGAGTTTTGGTGCACTTTCAGAAAACACACCAAAGCCTAGGATTTCATAGAAATCTATGGCTCAGTGCAGGTAACCCGCAGAAAGCCGCAGGTGCACTGTGGTGCACCTGCATATTGGTGTAATAGCAGCCTAATAGCCATTACTAAACTATACCCATTGCTCATATATGCCCATTGCAAAAAAAAGATAATAAATATGCCCATTGCTACTGTGATATTTATAAACTGACCTTTTATCCTGCACTTTCTGGAGCCAGCACTATAGAGGAGGCTTATGTGACTCCTGCTCCCTTTGCAGCTGCTTGCTTCCTTCTTCATCCACAGATCCACACTGATGCTCCGGGATGGCGGGTCGGCAACCCATGATCTGGGCTTGCCAACCCAACATCTCGGAGCAGAAGGTCGCAGGCCACATCAGAGAGCTTGGTGAGCCACAGGTTTCATAGTGAGGCTACAGCAATCAGTGGACTGGCCAGTGTATAGTTAAATTCAATTTTTTTGCCCTTTTTTTTTTGGTGCATGAAAATTTTTGTTAGGTTTCTGCTTTTGTAGTCTCTATTTTACATGGTAGAGCACGAATGCTCACTGTGACTTTATTTTTGCAGTTTACATCAGGTACTTATTGAAAACAGTGATTGTATTGGTTTTTTTTTTTTGCTTTCTCTGTTTGTATGCTTGGATTTTGTTATTGCATTAATTACTTTAAATGTTTATATTTAAAAGAAAAGATTGTACTTTCACTTATGATGATGGAGTTTACAATTTTATAGGAGTTTACAAATTTTATAAGATGCCACTAACATATATGTTGTCATTATTCCCTTTGTTATTTTTTAGGGATATTAAAGCTGGAAATATACTGCTTACTGAGCCTGGTCAGGTAAAATTAGCAGACTTTGGATCTGCGTCTATAGCATCACCTGCAAACTCCTTTGTGGGAACGCCATACTGGTAAGATATAGAAATAAATGTACATCCTTGATAAGGAGGATGTTTCAGGCATTTTGGACTGTACTTCTCCATACAATATATTGGGTGACTGTTTTAGGAAATGTAACAATTAATTTTAGATCTCTGCTGTGTAGTTTAAGAAATATTAAAGCTAAATTACAGGCAACCAGCTAAATAAACAGGTATGAAATACATATATGAAAACTGGTCTGACTGCTAAAGCATTTGTAAATTCAGTTCTGGGATTTCTACAGCTCTGTCCCACAGCACAGCCCTGTCTGGCAGAGGAGAGCAGCTAATCATCTTTGGTGCATTTTCATTTTCACTTATGCAGGCCATAGATGGGATGTTTATCGGCCAAATGAATAATCAGCCAATATTCACACCGTTAGTGGGGCAATGTCGTCGGCCGATTTTCGCAGTTCTTCTCGTTTCTTTTTATCCGTCATGCTGGAAAATCTATGAAAAACTTCTGTTTTTCATAAGCATTGGTGGCAGCAACGACCGATTTTTTTTTTTTTTTTTTTTTTTTATCGCCCGAAAATTCGGCCGATAAACATCTCGTCTGTGGCCAGCATTACAGGTCCTCTCCCCACCTCCACCTTTTGACTGCACAGTGAAAGTGGAAGAAGCCCACTAATAAAATAGCGAGCTCATCTCCTTGTTCTGTGCACTCTTCCTCTCAGCTTGTTATTTTTCCTGATATTTCTTCTTTTGTTGTTTCTAAAATACATTAAAAAAAAAAAAAACAATCACACCAAAATAAAGCCTTGACAGTCTAACATAATTTTAACCCAAATTTGAAAATGTTTTTGATATTTAAAGTATAAATTTATAAAAACCTTGTCTCCTTTCTAGTTACGTGTATTTAGTGCAGTTTGTACCAGGAGTTTCTTCACTATTGGACATACATTTTTCTATAAAATAGCACTTTTATATACATTTACACCTCTAGCTCTGTTTTGCCTTGTCAATCCACCTGCTTCTCTGTCTGTCTATATCATATAGTAAACAACTACTGCAGGAAAATCAATTTTATAAAACAACAGTTTCAGTTGTTAATACATAGTTACAATTAAATTTCTCAAACTTTAAAGATTAGGAACAAAAAATACTTTAGGCCCCCGGTCACTTCGAATGCGACTTGGCATGCGATTTGCATGCCAGGCGACTTGCCAAGTTGCACCCTATTGTCCACAATTACAGTGGTCAATACGAAAAGTAGTGCATGTACTACTTTAGGAATCGGTGCAGCTCTGTCCAAGCTGGAACCGCACCGATTTCTAAAGTAGTACATGCCCTACTTTTTGTGTGATTTGCATAGACAGCTGTCTTGCAAATCGCACTTGAAATCGGCATGTCCCCTGAATTTGAAATTGTGCGACTTAACTGTAAGTCGCACGATTTCAAAGTCGGGCTTGATGTGAACTTGGGCTAAGATGCGTCACGAACTGGATGTTCAGATAACTGGGTGATGTAGCAGCCTGAATACAGTAGCTGGTGGTGGAGATTCCTACATCTATGCTGTTTTCTGTGAGCAAGAGATTTAAGTGAAAGAGAAAATCTAGCCATGTACGACTAGCTTAAAGCAGTAGCAGGCCCCCTGCAGGTTTAAGTCATAATGTACTAGTATGTACCGCATACTGGCACATTATGACAGACGTACTTGCACACGGAGCCCTCCAGCGCAGCACTGTCACAGCTCCCTGGCGTTTCAGTCTTCACCAGGTCTTTCTTCTGGGTTTGCGGGTTCTGGCTGTATGAATGGCATGGTGCTTTGCAGTTCACTGCACAATGTATACCCTGAATGCAGAGTGCCACTTTGCATGCGTGGGTGACTTCATCGGCTGTTGCTGATGTTAATATCTCCTAAACTGTATATGTTTAGGACAGGTGTAGGCAACCTTTGAGAGGTGGAGATCTACCTGAACAACATGAAAGAGATCAAAGAGCACTGGGGTGCAGTGCCAATAAAAAAAATAAATAACTACCGAGGCCTAACTAAATAGCAAGGAAAATTGTAGAAATATGTAATAAAACAAATGGCACTGTAAAAATACAAACTTGGCCTACATTAAAAATGGACAGTGTCAGTCAGCAGGGCAGAGGACGGTGTGTCAGTCAGCAGGGCAGAGGACGGTGTGTCAGTCAGCAGGGCAGAGGACGGTGTGTCAGTCAGCAGGGCAGAGGACGGTTGTGTCAGTCAGCAGGGCAGTGGACGGTGTGTCAGTCAGCAGGGCAGTGGACGGTGTGTCAGTCAGCAGGGCAGTGGACGGTGTGTGTGTCAGTCAGCAGGGCAGTGGACGGTGTGTCAGTCAGCAGGGCAGTGGACGGTGTGTCAGTCAGCAGGGCAGTGGACGGTGTGTCAGTCAGCAGGGCAGTGGACAGTGTGTCAGTCAGCAGGGCAGTGGACAGTGTCAGTAGGACAGAGGTTGGTATCAGTTTTTATTTTTACATTTTTGTTTTTCAATATTTTTCAAAATTTTTTTTAATTTTTTCATTTGAAAGGGGAGCACTTGGGAGAAGGGCCAGGCAGCAGAAAAAAGGAGGAACAAAGATGGCAGGGGTAGTGGATTGTCGTAAGGCAGGTATTGTAAAAATTGGAATTCCCAGCAAGTTGCTGGTGATTGGGATTTTTCTGCCCCCCCTCAACTACCCTGGCGCCACAAGGCAGCTGCCTAAGCAGAAAAATCCGAATCCCCAGCCACTTGTTGGGAATTCAGATTTTTAAAATACCTGTCAATGGGAGGGAAGAGGAGAGGGGAAGAGGACACTGCTGTGTGTGTGTGTGTGTGTGTGTGTGTGGGGGGGGGGGCTAGAGGTCACTGCTATGGGGGAAAGGGGGTCCAGAGGACAGTACTGGGGGGGGGGCGATATGAAGGGTGGTAAAGGACATTGCTATGGGGGTGGCCCTGCACATCACTTCCCACCCCCCAAATAGTGTCCTCTGCCCCCCCTTTCCCCCATAGCAGTGTCCTCCATAACCGCCCCCCCCCCCCCAACAATGTCTTCTGCCCCCTTCTGACATTCATATTAACAAGCTGGTAATTGGGTGCAAGGACGGACCTAGCAACCAATCACCTGCAGGTTAATATGAAAAGTTCAGTTGGTCAGCTCCTCCTCCCACCCTCTGTCTTGAGCCCTGCTTTTTTTCTATTCTACGTTGTGCACTGAGAATGTCAGCAGCGGAGGAGGCTGGGGGAAAGGTGGGGAGAGGGACTGGCAACTAAAAGGTGGGGGTTGTCATTGCAGTTACCTGTTCGCGGTCTACCTGTCACCTGCCCACAGACGGCAGGTAGACCGTGATCGACGGGTTCCCGACCCCAGGTTTAGGAGATATTCATTGTACCTACAGGTAAGCCTGATGGTAAGCTTACCTGTAGGTACAGTACATGTTAAAAAGTTTACTACTACTTTAAACAACTGAGGGAGGATCTAAAAATGATGGCTGCTCAGGACACTGATGAGGCTGCACTAATGTGGCTGATCAGGACACTGGTGTGGCTGCAATGGTATGGATGCACTGGTGTGGCTGATCAGGATACTGATGAGGCCACACTGGCATGGCTGTTCAGGACCCTGATGAGGCTGTAGTGGTGTGGCTGCTCAGGACACTAATGAGGCTGCACTGGTGTGGCTGATCAGGACACTGATGAGGCTGCACTGGTGTGGCTGATCAGGACACTGATGAGGCTGCACTGGTGTGGCTGATCAGGACACTGATGAGGCTGCACTGGTGTGGCTGATCAGGACACTGAAGAGGCTGCACTGGTGGTGTGTTACACTGCAAAAATCACATTGTATGTAAACACACACTGATCCTGTACAGATCAGATCTGTCCTCACACAGAGACCGTGTAAAAGACACAGGATCTTTTGTTTATTTACACTGGGACACCTGTGATTGGACACAGCTGATCACATGGTAAAGAGCCAAGGCACACTGTGGTCAGAGAGCTGTGATGCATGCCCCACGGGGACACGCACATGGGAGAACATCCATGGACACCCTCCCAGAACTAGAGAGCCTTTCTGAGTTCATAAGTGGTTAAGGAAGAGTTATAACCTTCACTTCCTGTCCCACAGCCAAAACAGGAAGTAAGAGGAAATCTCTGCAAATTAATGGGATTTTCCTTTACTTACACTTTCAATGATAATGGCAATAAGAAATTCTGCTTACCTGTCCAGCAGCAGGGAAATAAGAGATCTCCAGGCCAGTGTGAATTAATACACTGGGCATAGTAATACAGGGCTGCTATCGCACTGATGCACTGTGATTTATCAACACCGCTGGTGCAGTGCAGTGTACCTGCAGCTTTTCAGCGGGTTTGCTGTGCTTAGCCATAGACTTCAATTATATCCTGCGGGTTTGGTGTACTTTCTGAAAGCACACCTAAATTCCTGCATTCAGGAGTTTTGGTGTGCTTTCAGAAAGTGCACCACGCTTGCAGGTTATAATAGAAGTCTATGGTAAAGCTAACTTAGGAAAGTCACAGATGTACGCATGTTTTGCACCCACGGTGCAGATAAACTGCAGCACATCAGTGTGAAAGCAGCCTTATAGGGGGCTCCGGACAGTTGGGGTTCATTTACATTTGCAGTTTGGGGTGGTAAAACCCCATAGTTGAGACATGTTTTTACCATCCCACCCCATCCACACACCCCCCTTAGCTACAGTGGCCACTGATGTCTCTGCAGAGCTGAGCTGTTGCAGCCACAGCAGGAATGGTATTTCCTGTCATGGTCATGGGTTTAGCACCTGCCAAACATGATATTGATTAGTTTGTTCAAATGTTATAGCGTCTACAAAGTATGGTACATATACTGGAATTTTATTTTTTTATAGTAGTGGCACCAATCAGTGACTTATAGCAGGACTGTGATATTGCGGCAGACATTTTTACACTGGCACTTTGTGGGAACCAGTGACACTAATACAGTGATCAGTGCTACAAAAGACACTAATCACTGTATTAATGACACTGGTTGGGAAGGGGTTAACATCTAGGGTGATCAAAGGGTTAAGTGTGTGTTGTGCTGGGTGTAGACTAGGTGGTGCTTTTACTAGAGGAAGTGACTGGTCATGTTCTCAGCTCTGCAGAGACACACGATTAATAATTTAAAGTGTTCACCTTTCCACCATCCTGCCCCCTGGTTCCCGCTGTACTGGGTTACAGTGATCCTCCACTGTCAGACAACGGCATGCTGCATCACCGATCTGGGGATTTGAAATCCCTGCAGCTTTCTCTTCTCTCCTTGCAGGACTGGCTAGACCGTTTCTGATTTCTTCAGCGCTGTCCACGTGTGACAGTGCTGACAAATTGGAGTCCATCTGGTCCTTACTGGCTAATCAGTACGGAGAGGAGATTAGACCACAGGGATTTCAAATCCCTGTATCAGTGAAGCAGCATTCCATTGTTTGACAGTAGAGGAGTATGGCACTCCAGTACAGTGGGAATGGGGGGGATGGGGAGAGGGAGTCCAGTATTAGGTCGCCTTCCAGATTTTCTGGGGTGAAAGGTAAACTTTCACTTTTTTAAACTTTTCTTTGTTTTTGTTTTGTTCAAATTTGTACACATTTCTCATTTAAAAAAGTGTAAAATTAAAAAAAAACAAAAAACACTTGATTTCAATTGTAAATCGCTTTCCAATGCTTTATTACCAGAGTCATAATTTTAGTTCCCTTTTAAGCAGGACAAATTACAAAATAAAATGTACACATTTTATGTGCAGTAACACTCTTATTTTTTTTTGACCAGTGGTCAAAAAAAAAAAAAGTGCTTATTGTTTAGTTTTGTTTCATTTTCTTGTCTAAGGGTTGCCAAAACAAATGTCATTGTTGCAAGACAATATCATGAAAAGAGAGCCTTAATTAACCACTTGAAGACCGCCATATAGCAGTTTTACTGTGACAGGGCGGCCCGCCTGCACAAAATCACGTATATACTTTATATGTTATTTTTGCACTCCTGCCATAGGGGGGCGCACGCATGTGACAGTGGCTCGCTTCTGCTGTCAACACTCACAGCAGAAGTCGATCTGTGTGTCCCGGTGAACAGATGTTTGCAGGCACCCGCCGATCATTGGGCAGGAGAAGGAACAGGTCTTTGCCTTTGTGAAAAAAAGGCAAAGCGCTGTTCTGACAGGTGGGGAAGTGAAGGATCATATGTCTGCAAAGCTGGGAACATGATCCTTCACATCCCCTAGTACAAGCATTACCTAGTGTACACCAAGCAAATAGCTAGGCACACATTTAACCCTTTGATTGTCGTAGATGTTAACCCTTTCTCAACCAGTGTCATTAGTACAGTGATCAATGCATATTTTTAGCACTGATCATTGTATTAGTGTCACTGGTTCCCACAAAGTGTGTTAGTGTAAAAATGTCCACCGAAATATCACAGTCCCGCTATAAGTCACTGTTCTCCACCATTACTGGTAAAAAAAAAAGTCCAGTATATGTTCCATAGTTTGAAGATGCTATAACGTTTGCACAAACTAATCAATATACAATTATTGGGATTTTTTTTTTATCAAAAATATGTAGCAGAATACATTTTGGCCTAAATTTATGAAGAAATGTGATTTATAAATTTTTTATTATTGGATAGGTTTTATAGTAGAAAATAAAAAAATATTGTGGTTTTTTTTTTTTTTTTTTTTTTTTTTTTCCCCCCCCCCCCCCCAAAAATTGTCGGTATTGTTTAGTTTATAATGCAAAAAGTAAAAACCGCAGAGGTGATCAAATACCACCAAAAGAAAGGTCTATTTGTGGGAATAAAAGGACATCAATTTCATTTATGTACAGTGTTGCATGACGTGACCCCGCCCCATGTGACATTGATGATGTCAGATGGGGTGGGGTCACATGCGTGATGTCCCCGGATGGCCCCGCCCCTTACATATGTAAGAACTGTCAAACCACCGGAGCAGGCAGACGGTTGGGGACCATTGTTGGGAGTGGAGCCTTTTTTTTTTTTTTTTTTTTTTATTCTTTTTTCGGGTCAGCAGCGGACATCGTGATTGACGTTGGATCTACTGCGGGGGACATTCTTTTATTTTTTTTTTCTTTTACTAAAGGACTTGTCAAAGACCGTGTCCTGTCTTTTTTCACACTGCACTTTGTTTTTCGTGAATGAGTAGCCGGACCATGTACCCCATACTCATTCACATAGGGGGGTAGACAGGATCTGGGGGCCCCCTTGTTAAAGAGGGTTTCCAGATTTTGATAAGCCCCCTGCCTGCAGACCCCCCACAACCACCGGCCAGGGTTGTGAGGAAGAGGCCCTTGTCCCATCAACAGGTGCTTTTGGGGGGGGGGGGACAATGTTGAGGGCTTTGGGGGTTCAGGGGGGGGAGCTCACTCGTCCCGTCCCCGCCCCCCCCCCCTTCGTGATCTGCCAGGCTGCATGCTCGGATAAGAGTCTGGTATGCATTTTAGGGGGGTCCCCCATGCCATTTGGGAGTTCCCCTCAAAATCCATACCATACCCGAAGGGCTTGGTATGGATGGGAGGGGGGACCCCACGCTATTTTTTAAAAATGTATTATGGTGCCAGCTTTTAAATGTAATTACCGCTTTTTTTTTTTTTTCTTCACTATAGCTCAGAGATTCAGCTGTCACTTCCCCACAGCTAAAAGAAAGAAAGTTTCCTTTTAGTTTATTTCCCCAAGTTAAAAGAAACAATGTTTCATTTTGGTTTCTTAAAAGAAACAAAGTTTCCTTTAATTCTGGGGGAAAGTGACCGCTAATTCTGTGAGCTATAGTGAAGGGAAAAAAAAGCCGGCAATTGCATTTAAAAATCGGCACCGACATACACTTTGTATTGCGAAAAAAAATTAGTAAACCGAGGCATTATTTTCAATGGATTTTTATTCGTAAACTGAAAATTACGTTAACCAAGTTAATGTGTGTAATGTGTATATGTGTATAATATATATAATTTTATTATATATTTTAATTTTGTTCTTTTCCTTTAACTTTATTGCTATCACAAGGGTTAGCTTTGGGCAGTGACAAGTACTCTTTATGGAGATATTAGGGGTTCCAATTCTTTCTATGTTCGCCCTCCTTTTTTTTTTTTTTTTTTTTTCCTCCACCTTCTTTTTTCTTTCTTCCTTCCTTTTTTTTTTTTTTCCTCTCTTCCTCCTGTTGTCCTACTGTAGTTCGGGATTTAGTACATTGCCAGCGATGCCTCTCCTCCTTTTTGTTCCTAGTTGAGGCTTCCATGACCTAACTGACTACTTATAGAATTGCACGCCTCCCTCAAGGTGCGCAATAACTTATGAGGAGGCTGACTCTAAACTGCTTAATAAAAACTTTACTGTACTTTTTTTGTTAATTGGCGGCTGGAGGTGGAGACAACTATTAGGGACACCATAGTCCCTGCAAAGATGTATAATATAACTGTTATTGGTTTGTTCGTTCCTTCTGGATGTTTCGGTGGTGTTTTATATAACCTGTTTACTGTTACATTATTCTCTTGAATCAATGTACCACTTGGTTTCAAACCTTATGCATGTGTTTATTGTATGTGAATAACTAAAGAAATAAAAACATTATGGTGAGAGGAATGGCATGTGTTTCAGTAGTGCACAGAATCAGTTTGCCCTGCATTTGGTTGCAATTAACATTGCAAAGAGACAGAATTTACACTGCAAATAGTAGTAATTAACTTGATAAATGTCCCCCAATATGTATTTGTTTTGTTTTTTAAGCACCCCATAAACTGACCTTGATCACCAGTGTTAAATCACTCATTTTGAAGTGTCCATAATGGCTATTGAAGGCTGAAGAAACTCCCGAGACAAAGGTTACCTTTTACACTGATCGCAAGTGCCAGTATAGTAGACCGGCAATTGTTATTGCTTTTTCCTTCAGGATGGGCTGTGGCTTGTTAATTGTCATACTGCTGTGAAACTGTAAGTAGCAGTAGTACTATTTTAGGGCCACCAATCCTACATTGATTGCTCTAAAAAAAAAAAAAGATCACACAGTCAGATATGTGCATACAAAATAAATTCTTAGACCAAGATGCAGGTGTTAAATAGAATTGTTGCATTTGCAATGGCATACTGTTTTATGCCTTTAGTCATTTCAATCATGGGAAAGGCTATAGTAGAAGAAGAAAATATATGGACACTACTAACAGAGTTTCTTTTTGGTTGTTTGCTTTCAGGATGGCCCCAGAAGTTATTTTAGCAATGGATGAAGGCCAGTATGAAGGGAAAGTTGATATCTGGTCTCTTGGAATTACTTGCATTGAATTAGGTGAGTAGCATAAGGCAGCCCATAGATCATTTATTTTTTTTTCGTTCAACCAGCAGATTGAGTGAAAAAAAAAGACTTGATTTCCCCCATGCATACATTTGAAGTAGATGAGGGAATCCTCCCCACTGTGCCTTTTTGTATTTTGACAGTGGGACAGCTTTAGAAACAGTTTAATCTCTGAAACCACTTAATTTGTCACATTGCACAGTTGGACTAACAGGTAAGTTCACCAAATTCTTCATGTTGTTGCATGAAGTGTGCCCCAGCAACTTTTGCATTCAAAAGCAGATAGGGTACAAGTGTGAAAATGTGTTCTGTAGTAAGTCATGCTCATATAAAGGCATGTCATGATATACTGTCAGAGAATGCAGCGCTATGTTAACCACTTGCCTACCAGGCACTTATACCACCTTATTTACCAGGCCAATTTTCAGCTTTCAGCGCTGCCGCACTTTGACAATTGCGCAGTCATGCAACATTGTACCCATATGAAATTTTGATCATTTTTTTCTCACAAATAGAGCTTTCTTTTGGTGGTATTTAATCGCCACTGGGCGCTTTACTTTTTGCGCTATAAATAAAAAAAAGTGCAAAAAATTTGAAAAAAAAAAAGTTTCTTTGTTTCTATTATAAAATTTTTCAAACAGGTAATTTTTCTCCTTCACTGATGTGCGTTGATGAGGCAGCACTGATGGGCACTGATAGGCGACACTGATGGGCACTGATAGGCAGCACTAAAGGGCACTGATAGGCAGAACTAATGAGGTGGCACGGATAGGCGGCACTGATAGACAGCACTAATGAGGTGGCACGGATAGGCGGCACTAATATGCAGCACTGATAGGTGACACTGATGATGGGTACTGATAGACGGCACTGACTGGATCACTGCTGGGCACTGACTGGCACAAACGCTGGACACTGACTGGTGACACTGACTGGCAGCTCTGCTGGGCGGCACTGGTGGGCACAGGTGGGTGGCACTGGTGGACACAGGTGGGTGGCACTGCTGGGCACAGGTAGGTGGCACTTGGGCACAGGTGTGTGACACTGCAGAGTGGCACAGGTGGGTGCACTGCTGGGCACAGGTGGGCGGAGCTAGTGGGGCACTGCTGGGCACAGGTAGGTGGCACTTCTGGGCACAGGTGTGTGACACTGCAGAGTGGCACAGGTGGGTGCACTGCTGGGCACAGGTGGGCGGAGCTAGTGGGCGCACTGCTGGGCACAGGTGGGCACACTGCTGGGCACAGGTGGGCGGAGCTAGTTAGGGGCGCACTGCTGGGCACAGGTGGGCGAAACTTGCGGGTGCCACTGCTGGGCACCGATCATCAGGGCACTGATCATCAGTGCCCTGATGATCGGTGCCGATCCTCGCTCTGACAACTGCCGGTTCTCGGCAGTACTTTCCTCACGATCTGACAGCGTGAGGAAAGTGCAGTCGAGAACCGGCACTTGCATTTCCCTCTGATCAGCGCGTCATTGGACACCGCTGATCACGTGGTAAAAGGCCGCTGTGATTGACCTTTTACCACATCACGTGATCAGCTGTGTCCGTAGGACACAGCGATCACGGAGATCGCCGAGTGCGCGCCCCCTGGGGCGCGCAAGAGAGCGCGTTCTGGGAGGACGTCATATGACGTCCACTCAGAACTGGCCGGCCGCAGTGCAGCCGTCATTTGGCTATCTGCGGTCAGCAACAAGTTAAAAATTAGAATAAAAATAAACAATGTGCCAAATATTCATATAAATGCGCTGTGGAGCGCTCAATAGAATAGCAAGTGTAAAACGTCTTGATGGTGACGTTTAAAGTGCAATAAGTGACATAAAATAAATTGGATATAAAATCACGTAAAATAATGTCCAATATTCATGTAATGGTGAAAGCAGTGACTCCTGTGTCTGTGAGTGGGTGTATATTGCACTAACAAGATAGCTCAAACGTATGCGCCTTTGAGTTGTCAGACCACTCCTGGTCATCAGGATCTGGAAAAGGCAAGAATCAGATCATCTGGCAAACCAGCAGCATGACAGGTGATCAGCATGTCATCTCTCTCCAAGTGGTAATTATTCATCCATCCAGCAGGGGGTCATGATCCAGGTATCATGGATACTAATCCATCCAGCATGGAAACCTCACAGTGGCAGGTATGGGGCACCAAAACAGGAATCCACCTTGAAAGGGGTGGCTTGTAATAAAACGAGCCCAAACAAAGATCTGGATAGTGTAGTATTTTTTACTTTATTTGGCGAATACACATATAAGTCACATCAGCAAAAACTGCAATAAAGATGGCCGCTGGCCTCCACGCGGCCCGAACGGCGTGACGTCACCGGCTAGGCTCCACCCTCATGATATACTGTACAGCATTTATAAAGAAAGTGAAAAGGAAAGTCTTCTAAGCTGTCAGCCGCTACATTAATATCTATGGAGAATACATAGTTGAGGACCTGCATAATTTGCTGTATTATCAGATTCCTGTATTTATATAGCATCAATTTATTACACAGCATTATGTAAAGTACATAGAACCACTCACACTAGTATCTACCCCTTGAATGAGGTTTGTTGTGAGACACTGAAGCACCTAAAGGAAACCTCTCATTCACAGAAAGAACATGCAAAGGGTGCCCCCAGATTCAGGACTCAGATCTGGGACACAAGAGGGCTAATCATTTAGATGCTGACATATACAGTATACATATGGGAACTATGTATATCTTATACACATCAAAGTAAAATAAGTAGTATATGTATGAGGAAACCTAATGCCTCCTAACCCCCTTGTCTTGCATAATATTGTAACAGTACGGTCTCGTTTAAAATATAAAGCACCATGCTAATTGTTATTGCTATATAGATCCTATATTTAATAATTAGGAGTGCAGAATAGAATACTAGCTCTGATTTCACCAGAAGTAAAAAATATAGTAATACTGTAATTATTGACCAGGTAAATAACAAAAAGACTTTTTGGGGTCACCAAAGACTGTCCAGCCCAGTCAGGTGTTTGTAAATGGATGATACGTATTTCTAGTTGTTGCTGTATAATTTGTCCAGACTGTTTTTATATGGCCGCTACATGTGACATAGCAAATACTGTGATGATATAGTTTGGGTCAAAAAGAGTTACATTTAATGCTTTGCAGTTTCAAAGCTGAATTTAGAAATGTGTTTTTTTTTTTTTTTTGTTTTTTGTTTTTTTTTTTGTTTGGTGGAAAAGGTAAATTCAGGTGATAAGGTAGCTTTAACTTTTCACCAGTTACAAGCAGCAATAAAAATAGTTATCACAGGATTCAGGCACATTTTTTTTTTTCAAACTAAAAAAAAAGGTTTCTGATTAATTAAAGACAATTATGAATATTATAAATATGGTTAATATTTAGTGTGATAAAGTATCAGAACAAACTAGCCTGCACTAGAACTAATGAAAAAGTGCAGCATGTGTTTAGCATTACTGTTCAAAATAGATGGACTTCTGCACACATGAATGTGTTTCAAAACAAAGCTGTAAGAGCTTTTGTGGTATACCTTGCATTCCCCACATAGGAACGCTTCACTTGGTTAGGTGAAGGTCCATTGTTTCAGGTGCTGTTTTGGACAGAGAATAAAGCTTTCATGGAATGGCTTCCCTGGAATGACCTAGGAGATTAAAATAATTGGATTAAATAGTATGACGACACTAAAGAGCTCTTCTTTTTACAAGCAACACCTTGCTGGCAGTTCAGGTCCCTGGCTTTTCTCTCATTCTTCCTTTTGCTCATGTGACTTTTTTTTTTTCATTTGCTTACAGCTGAACGGAAGCCTCCTTTATTTAATATGAACGCAATGAGTGCCTTATATCACATAGCCCAGAATGAGTCCCCTACACTACAGTCCAATGAATGGTAAGTACTCACTATTTTACGTATACATAATTATTATGCTTGAGATTTTTCATTTTTAAAATATACATTCCACTATAGTAATGTTTCTAGGGGAAAATGAATACTATGGACTCCAAAGGGAACTACTTTGCCAGTATATGAGGCATCTACAATAGAAAATCACTTTTTAGGCTTGTTATAAGGTTTCTGCAGTTGGGAGAATTATTCACTAGATCTTCCTCACTTAGATTTCAATTGGAGATAAGGCTGTTTTGAACAGTTAAAGTTCTCCTACACCTGTATGATGCTTTGCGCTGTAGATAGGTGCTGGAAGTGTGTTACAGAAACCTGTTTCAGTTTCCATTGTGTTTGGTTATACTTCAACACAAACATTGATAAGAAAATTGCTTTTCTAGCTGAAAGTGATCAAGTATTATACCACAGTTTTCAGATTTTCTTATCTTAGGCCTTTTTTACACCTGCTTTGCTGTTTGAAGCGCAAATTGCGCTCAGATCACTCCTCAGAGAGTAATAGGCTTGCAGTGGAGCGGCACCGTACCGCCTCTTCCTCGCCGCCTGTTTTTTACCTCCTAAATGTTGGACAACCGAGTGCATTGTGGGATGCAGTGTAGCTCCATCCGCCGCATGTGTACACTCCTAGTTACTGCCTCAGCAGTAAAACAGAGCGGGTTGAGGGATGGGGGCGGTCATGGATTTTACTGCCCCCAGTCTAAAGTGTAAACAAGCCCTTAATGTTAGAAGAGCTAACTAATGTGAATTGAGACATGTAAATTGCTTTTGTTTTAAGGAGACTACTGCATTTTATATTTGTACAGTAGAGGGCTTTTTGGTTTATTTTTTATCGTACCTCACAAACACTCAAACAAGTAAACTGAAATTATTATTCACCTCTGTGTGTTAGCAATGTACTGGATATGTACATTTATGTTAATTCCCTCTATAACGTGATACTAAAACAGATAAAAATGTTCATAATTTTGTCAAACTGTTATTTCTGAATGTATAGTTGGAGAAAAAGTGCACACATTTTGGTTGATTTACTAATGGAGAAGGGCATGTTTGTGATCTGTGCAGCTCTTGAACATTAGAGGTCTTGTGGAATAAATTGATTGGTAGTTGTTTTTATTGCAGTTTTTATGTTGTTTTTGGTTTAGTGTTTTTTATGTTGAGTGTGGAATTCCTTTTTTTAATGTGAGGGAGCTACAACTGTGTTTCATTTTATGATTGCTTTTGTAAAATGACAATACATTTTCTGATTCTGATGTTTGTAACTTTGCACAGTGAATTTTTAGACAAAGTTTTTAAGGAAAATTCACTTTGCAAAGAATATTCAATATGTTCAAGGAAATTAACCACTTGTTGCCTGCCCACCCGCAATGTACTGCGGGACGGGCAGCAGCTACTGGGAAAGCGACGTACGGGTACATCACTCTGGGTGTACCTGCACAGGGGAGCGCTCCCCCTTGCAATCGCTGTGTCCACCAGACACTGTGGAATGAAGATCCCGGTGAACGGAACCTGGTGGTCATGTGATTGCTATGGGATCACATGACCACAATGTTGGCAAAGCTGTTAGGACTCAGTCTGATTCATTACAGCTCTGCTTCTCTTCCTGGTGAGCTGTGATTGGCCCACAGCTCTCACATGGTATATGGGGCCACACAGCACCTTGTACCATATAACCAGCTCACAGATCACTATTATTTTGAACTGTCATGAATTTAACTCATTCATGAAAGTTCAAAGCAAGCTTTGCATTGCAGGAGTAATAACCTTTATTGCCCCTGCAAAGTGTAAAAAAAAAAATAGTATTTACAAAATAATATAAAAATACTGTATTGAGAATTTTTTGGTACTTTTTTTTTTTTATTTTTATTTTTTAATTGCTGACCACCTGCCCGTAATGTGCAGGTAAGCAGTGGCTCTGGGCAAAACAACGTACCTTTACATCGCTTTCTATTTCGGGGAGCGACCATGGCTGTGCCCCCTGCTGCTCCCCCATCTCTGTCTAGGGAGGAAAGAGAGAACACCACACTTTATAAAAGTAGTGTTTTTACTCACACATGTTAGATTAGCACATTTTAACCCTTTGATCGCCCCTGTTAACCCTTTGATCACCCTATCACCCACCCAGTGCCATTAGTACACAATGTCAGTATATAGAATTTTTCATTGATCACTGTATTAATGCCACTAGCGACATCAGATGGCGTTGGGGTCTGTAAGCTCCCCTCCCAGCCAGGGTCGGTCAGTTAGCATTAGATTGCCCACACACTATCGCACTCACGCTATAGGTCACTAATCATCGCTATTACTAGTATAGTGTTTGTACAGATCAATATATTGATCACGAACAGAACTATACTAGTGCCTCCTTTGTATGGTGTCCCCAAAAATGCAGTGTTAGCAGGATCAGCCCCGTTCACTGCCAGCACTAGCATTTAGCCCCTCTGCTGTTTTTCACGGAAGATTTGTACCAATTGATTGTGGGCCAAAGCAATTTATACACACAACAATACATTGCCGCCCACCCAAATTCAGCTCTTGCCAGACAATTCACGTGGAAACCTATCACGGTTTCTGAATTTAAAACTTTTTTGGCTCTAAACCTCAACATGGACATTACAAAAAAAAATGAATTGCGGTCATATTGGTCCATAGACCCATTTCATCATATTCCCATGTTCTCTGATGTTACAAATATGCCCCACAAGGACCAGCAACATACTGGCACATCGCTGGACTTTGAGTAGTTCTACTGGGTTGTTGCCTGCAGCTACAGGCATCATCCTGGTATCGTTTTTTTCAGCTAGCGGTCAGCTTTCATGTAAAAGCAATCCTAGCAGCTAATTAGCTGCTAGATTGTATTTACAAGCGGCAGGATGTGACGCCCTCCCACATGCACCATGCATGTGAGTTATCACTGCGAACGTCAGATCGAAAGCATTAATTCTACTGCTAGACCTCCTGTGTAAATATAAAGTGGTGACCTGTAAAGGCTTTAAAAGCATCGCCTATGGATATTAAACATTTACATAGTTTGTTGCCATTGCACGGGTGTGCACAATGTTAAAGCATGTCATGTTTGGTATCTATCTACTTGGCTTAACATCATCTTTTATATCTTATCAAACAATTGGGCAATATATTGTGGATTTTTGCTGCAAGGTTGAAAAAATTAGCGTTTGAAAAATCGCAGCGCAAATATTGTGTAACAAAAAATTGCAACACCGACCATTATTCTCTAGGGCCGCTGCTTTAAAAAATAAATAAATATAATATATATATATATATATATATATATATATATATATATATATATGTATGTTTGGGGGTTCAAGGTAATTTTCTAGCAAAAAAAAAAATCTTTTCATGTAAACAAAGTGTCAGAAAAGGCTTGTCCTTCAAGTGGCTAGAAGAGTGGGTGATGTTCTTCTAATGTTGGCCCTGAAATGATCCCTTTTTTGAAAGTAGTATTTTTTTGGTTTTTTTTTTTTCTTTTTCAAAATTCTGTGACAAAAGTGTTATCTGATAAATACTCACCATGCCTCTCAACAAATTCTTTTCTACTTTCAAAAAAAGGGGTAATTTGGGTGGATGTTTGTACTATCCTGGCATTTTAGGTCCTCCGAAACTGTGATAGGTAGTGAGGAAGTGATATGAGTAAATATGCTCTTTGAAAGCCTGAAGGTGGTCATTGGATTTTGGGGGACTGTATGTGGCTAGGCTGTCAAAAAGTTTCTCACATGTGGTATCCCCATACTTGTTAGAAGTAGCAGAATGTATTTTGGGGTGTAATTCCACATATACCCATGGCATGTGTACGCAATATATCATTTAAGTGACAACTTTGTGTAAAGAAAAAAATTTTTTTTCGTCATTTTCCATAAATTTGTGGGAAAAAAAATTAAATCTTCCATGAACTCAATATGCCTCTTGGCAAATTCCATGGAGTATCTATTTTCCAAAAAGGGGTCATTTAGGGAGGGGGGGGGTTGTACTGCCCCGACATTTTAGCACCTGAAGAAATGTGATAGGCAGTCAGAAAGTAAAAACCTTCCTAAATGACAGTGTATGTACCATAGTTTGTAGATGCTATAACTTTCACACAAACCAATTAATATACACGCATTGGGATTTTTTTTTTACCAAAGACGTGGCAGAATACATTTTGGCCTAAATTTATAACTAACTTTGAGTTTTTTGGATATTTTTTATATCCGAAAGTAGAAAATAACGTGTGGTTTTTTTTTTTTTTTTTTTTTTTTTTTTTTTCAAAATTTCAGCCTTTTTTTTTTTTTGTTTAAATCACAAACCATAAAAGCCCAGTGGTTATAAAATACCACCAAAAGAAAGCTCTATTTGTTTGAAAAAAAAGGACTTCAATTTTGTTTGGGTACAGTGTTGCATGACCGTGCAATTACCAGTTGAAATAGCGCGGTGCTGTATAGCAAGAAATGACCTGCTCAGGAAGGGGTGGGGGGATATATCTTCTGTAGGGCAAGTGGTTAATTAAAATGCAAAAATAAAAAATGCAAAACAGGATTTTGGTTCACACATGGTTGCATGGAAGTCAGCACAGCTCCTTTTCAATCACTAAGTAAGGCCACATTCAAACAAACAAATGAGTGTGGATTGGCTGCCGTGTTCAGAGGTGGATAAACAATATAGCACCCTGTGCTATGGCAGTGTATAAATTGGCTGATATGCTGCATCCAGAAATGCTTTCTCTGGATGAAAACTCTCTGTGTCCAGGGCCATTCAGAGGCTCTATTTATATGTGACCACAGCAGCAGTTGCATGCAAGCAAAAATCTTTCTTTTTTTCTATTGTTTTTAATTCTTCTTTGTACAAGATTGGGTGTTATTTGCAAAATGAATTTTCACTTTGCTTCAACTCCTTCACTAAGTTAGGTATAAATTCACTTTGCAAAGTAAACATGCTCTACTCCTTTAGTTGATCGAACTATTGATATGTCTATTTTATCTTTATTCACAAAATAACTATTCTGCCTTTAATGTTTGCTTGATCCAGATATGGTGTTCTTAACTGTATTTTAAATACATTGCCAAAAATATTGGCACCCGTGCATTTCTGTCAGATAATACACCACTTCACCCAGAAAATTGTTGCAATTACAAATGTTTAGGCACTCTCAAGTGGAGAAACAAAAAGCCAAAACTGACATATTCCAAGCAAAACCCCAAAAATGGACTGGATAAAATTGTTGGGACCTTCTCAAAATTGTAAGAAGTGGTTGCTTTCCAAGTTTGTGATGCTCTTGTAATTTGTAATTAAACTCCCCTGTATTAATTGACAGGTGCTGACAATAGAGAAATCACACCAGCAACCAGTAAAATAGTGAAATATTGACTCAACCTTTCTGTTGTATGTATCTGTGTGCCACATGGAGCATGGAGAAGAGAAAGAGCAGCAAATAATTGTCTGAGGATTTGAGATCAAAAGTTGTGAAAAAGCATGGACAATCTCAAGCTTACAAGTCCATCTCCAGAGATCTTAATATTTCTGTGTCCACTGTGCGCAACAGCTAACCTCACTGGACGTGGGCGAAAGAGAAAAACTTGTTCAAAGATTGTAATGAAGATTGTTTGAATGGTGGCTAAAGAACCTCAATCAACTTTCAGACAAATTCAAGCTGGACTTCAGGCACAGGGTACAACTGTGTAAGCTCGCACTATACGTAGCCATCTGAATGAAAAGGGACACTATAGTAGGAGACCCAGGAGGACCCTACTGCTGGCACAGAAACATAAAAAAGCCAGATTGGAGTTTGCCAAAGCTTACCTAAGGAAGCCAAAATACTTTTAGGCGAATGTGATGTGGACAGATGAAAAAAATTACAGTTTTTTAATAATGCCCATCATTCTACTGTTTTCAGAAAAAGAAATTAGGCCTTTAAAGAAAAGACCTATAAATGTGTATATAGACTGTGCTGCCGCAAATGTGAACCAAAATTACTTAACAATTTGCCACATGTGAAAATGCAAAAAATGGACAACACAAGAAAATACAAATAATGTCCAATCTATCAATAAGTCCAATTTAAATAATAGCTGATTGAAAGCCAATAGATAGGTGAACAGGTGCTGGTGCCATTAGTAGCAGAAAAAAACAGATGACCACTTCCTTGTGCTCCAGGTGACCCCACATGGATTTACACTCCCCACAATGGATGGACATGCTATTACTAGTCAGGTCTCAGTGCGCTTTTTTTAGTTGGACCCACTGTATATCTTGTCACCAACTTAACCATTCACATGTATCAGGAATGCGATTTCTTTCCATGCAATATACTGCCACTCAAAAAACAGTATCAGGGAAAAGGTTCATTGCGCAAAGCAGCTGACTTTATTAAAACATAAACCTAACAATCACACCACACTCATGTGTATATGTGCCTAGGGACCGGCACCGGGTACATACAGCGCTTGTTGTTAAGATGGCTGCCACAGCCCAGAAATCAGAAGCTGGCTTGTGCTCATGGGATGGGATGTGATGTATTGGCTGGGGAACACTGCTTCAACTAGTGTCATCTGTAATTGGACGTCTTCAGGAGCTGAACCTTTTGTGGTAGTGTATTGCATGAAAAGAAATCACATTCCTGGTACATGTGAATGGTCAAATTGGTGACAAGACACACAGTGGGTCCAGCCAAAAAAAGTGCAGTGTGAACTGTCTAGTAATAGCAGGTCCATCCATTGTCAAGAGTGTAAAAACATGTGGGGTAACCTGGAGCACCTGGAAGTAGTCACCTGTGTTTTCTGTTGGCTTTCAAGCAACTATTATTTTAATGGGACTTACTGATACATTGGACTTTATTTGTACTTTCTTGTGTTGTCCATTTATGTTTTTTTTTTTTTTCCATTTTCATTTGCATTTGCAAATTGTTAAGTAATTTTGGTTCAAATTTTTGGCAGCACAGTCTAACTTCCACATTAGTGAGCCCTATAAATGTGTGTATATAGACACATTTTGAAGACTGCAGCAGCCATAATCACACTCATATGTGTTTCTTTATTGTTGGTTTATTTTGGTTATGCCTGTGGCGCAGAGTTTTCATTGTTATTTGTTACTTTAAAGAAAAGAATACAGTCCAACATGGTGGAGGTTCACTGATGTTTTGGGGTTGCTTTGTTGCTTCAGGCACTGGATGTCTTGACTGTGTGCATGGCATTATGATATCTGAAGACTACCAAAGAATTCTGGGGTGCAATGTTGGGCCCAGTGTTGGAAAGTTTGGTCTCTGTCAGAGGTCATGGGTCTTACAGCAGAACAATGACCCAAAACACACGTCAAAAAGCACCCAGAAATGGTTTCAGACAAAGCGCTGGAGAGCACTGAACTGGCCAGCAATGAGTCCAAATCTCAATCCCATAGAGCACTTGTGGAGAGATCTCAGAACAGCAGTTGGGAAAAGGAACCCTTCCAATCTCAGAGAGATTGCGAAATCTGAGAGTTGGCGAAAGAAGAGTGGTCCAAAATTCCAGTAGAGAGCGGTGTAAGAAACTAATTTATGGTTACAGAAAGCGATTGATTTCAAGTATTTTTCCAAGGGGTGTGCTTCCAAAGATTAATTTGGGGGTGCCAATAATTTTGTCCAGTTCATTTTGGGAAATTTGCATGGAATGTCAGTTTTGGCTTTTTTTTATCTCCACTTTTTTGTGTCATACCAATACAAACAAAAGAAATAAACATGAGAAAGGCTAAACATTTGTAATTGCAACAATTTTCTGGGCGAAGTGGTGCATTATCTGACAGAAATGTAGGGGTGCCAATATTTTTGGCCATGACTGTAGGCTTTCGATGTTACAGATCTTTATATATTTAATTATTATTATGCTTATTATATACTTTTAAATTCAGGTCGGACTCATTCCGTGGATTTGTGGACTACTGCTTGCAGAAAATACCTCAGGAACGGCCCACGTCTGCTGAGCTGCTGCGGGTAATACATCTGCCTGTTTTGCTTTTTTCAATCCATATTAAAAAAGTGTGTATTAGGTAGTGATCTCAAGATTCAACTATTTCAAGTGACTAAAAAAGCTACAAATATTCCTTGTATGATTACTTATGCATCTGCTAACAGAAGAGATTTGCAACCTGATAGAAGGGTGTTGATATGTGCTCTTATATTTAGATATTTGCACAGGTGGAAGACTACTAATATGTAGATCCACATTTTGCCTTGCTGAAACCAAACCCTTAATGACAGCCCTGATCTCTTTAGTTAAGAGATTGAAAATACATCTGTAGCTGGTGACTTTTATCTCATGTTTAACTTGTAGCAACTTCTGATGTGAAATCTATGCATTAAAAAAAGTATCGCTCCCCGAACTACAGTCATGGCCGAAATTGTTGGCACCCTTGATATTTTTCCTGAAAATCAAGTATTTCACACAAAAAAGGTATTGCATTAACACATGTTTTGCTATACACATGTTTATTCCCTTTGTATGTATTGGAACAAATATAAAACAGAGGCAGAAAAGCAAATATGACATAATGTCACACAAAACCCCAAAAATGGGCTGGACAAAAGTATTGGCACCCTTAACTTAATATTTGGTTGCACACCCTTTGGAAAACATAACTGAAATCAGTCGCTTCCTATAACCATCAATAAGCTTCTGACACCTCTCACCCGGAATTTTGGACCACTCTTCCTTTGCAAACAGCTCCAGGTCTCTCTTATTTGGAAGGACACCTTTTCCCAACAGCAATTTTAAGATCTCTCCACAGGTGTTCAATGGGATTTAGATCTGCTCATTGCTGGCCACTTCAGAACTCTCCAGCGCTTCTTTGCCATCCATTTCTGAGTGCTTTTTGACGTATGTTTGGGGTCATTGTCCTGCTGGAAGACCCAGGATCTTGGACGCAAACCCAGCTTTCTGACACTGGGCCCTACAGTGCGACCCAAAATCCTTTGGTAATCCTCAGATTTCATGATGCCTTGCACACAGTCAAGGCACCCAGTGCCAGAGGCAGCAAAACAACCCCAAAACATCATTGAACCTCCACCATATTTTACCGTAGGTACTGTGTTTTGTTCTTTGTAGGCCTCATTCCGTTTTCGGTAAACAGTAGAATGATGTGCTTTACCGAAAAGCTCTATCTTGGTCTCATCTGTCCACAAGACGTTTTCCCAGAAGGCTTTTGGCTTACTCAAGTACATTTTGGCAAACTGTAGTCTTGCTTTTTTTTATGTCTCTGTGTCAGCAGTGGGGTCCTCCTGGGTCTCCTGCCATAGCGTTTCATTTCATTTAAATGTCGACGGATAGTTCGCGCTGACACTGATGCTCCCTGAGCCTGCAGGACAGCTTGAATGTCTTTGGAACATGTTTGGGGCTGCTTATCCACCATCCGGACTATTCTGCGTTGCAATCTTTCATCAATTTTCCTCATCCGTCCACGACCAGGGAGATTAGCTACAGTGCCATGGGTTGCAAACTTCTTGATAATGTTGCGCACTGTGGACAAAGGCAAATCTAGTTCTCTGGAGATGGACTTGTAACCTTGAGATTGTTGATATTTTGCCACAATTTTGGTTCTCAGGTCCTCAGACAGTTCTCGTCTCCTCTTTCTGTTGTCCATGCTTAGTGTGGCACAGACAGACACACAATGCAAAGGTTAAGTGAACGTCTCTCCTTTTATCTGCTTTCAGGTGTGATTTCTATATTGCCCACACCTGTTACTTGCCCCAGGTGAGTTTACAGGAGCATCACATGCTTGTAACATTCTTATTTATCCGCAGTTGTGAAAGGGTGCCAATACTTTTGTCCAGCCCATTTTTGGAGGTTTGTGTGACATTATGTCGAATTTGCTTTCTTTCCTCCCTTTTTTTGTTTTGTCCCAATACACACAAAGGGAATAAACATGTGTATAGCAAAACATGTGTTAATGCAATACGTTTCGTGAGAAATACATGATTTCCTGGAGAAATATCAAGGGTGCCAACAATTTCGGCCATGACTGTATGGCTGGAATGGACCGTTCAAACACCGTCTATTTTGTTCTTTTTTTTTCTTTTACAGTGTATAAAATGTTGATGATGCCACTACCTCCTTGCCCCCATTTGAACTTTAAGAACCGACCCCTCGCTTGGGGGATTTAGATCCGAGTCTGCATTGTTTGCTGTGCATCTTTATGCATATCTCCCTGCGTGGAGACTTGAAATTCTATTTGATAAATATCTTTTATGATGATAATAAAATATTTGAACTTAAAGTATCACCTGGCTGTGGTTAAGTGGTTAAGAGGACAATTGATGTTTCACTGTGGTACAGGAAGACCTGCTTGCTGCAAGCACCAACTTCAGTGTGTCATGCAATCACTTCCCAGAAAACAGTTCTATCTTAAAGCAGTAGTAAATTGTGTAGGGGAGAAAAAAAAAAGTCCACCTGCAGGCTTATGTCATAATATGCTAATATGCAGTGCATACTAGTACATCATGACAAACTTGCCTTAAAAAAAACAACAAAAAAACAGAATCCTCCAGGGACGCTGACAGGGATTCCACCTTCACCTCATTGTCCTTCTGGGTTCGCAGGCTCCGGCTGTTTGAATGGCCAAACTATGATGTCACTCCCGCTCGTAGATCGGAGAGATCACTAGCTGCTTCACATGTAAATATCTCCTAAACAAGCAGTTTACCTGTAGGTACAAGATAGAAGAAAGTGGAGTTTACTACCAGGCACTTTAAATGTTGATGTTTTTATAGTATATAAACTGGCTGGAGCAAGATGCTGCATGGAAGCGAGGGTCCCCATTCAGTCAACTGGCATTTGACAAGTAATACTTAATTCAGAACTTCTGGTCATACAGGGGGCAGTTTCTTTGTTCAACCATCGGGTTGAACAAAAAAAAAGACCCATACCCTAATCCACACACTCAGTCGAGAGATAGATAATATATACACATACACTGCTCAAAAAAATTAAAGGAACACTTTGAAAACACATCTGATCTCAATAGGAGAAAAATATCATGCTGGATATCTATACGGATATGGACTGGGTAATGTGCTAGGAACATAAGGATGTCCCATTTTTTGATGGAAATGAAAATTATTAACCTACAGAGGACTAAATTCAAAGACCCCTCCCGAAAGTCAAGGTGAAACAATTATGCAGCAGGCTAGTCCATTTTGCTGAACTTTCATTGCAGCAACTCAAAATGGTACTCAGTAGTTTGTATAGCCCCCACGTGCTTGTATGCGTGCCTAACAATGTCCTGACACTGTCGGGGCATGCTCCTAATGAGATGACGGATGGTGTCCTGGGTTATTTCTTTCCAGATCTGGACCAGGGCATCACTGAGCTCCTGGACAGTCTGAGGTGCCACCTGACGGCATCTGATGGACTGAAACATGATATCCCAGAGGTATTCTATTGGATTTAGGTTAGGTGAGCGTGGGGGCAATTCAGTGGTACCAATTCCTTCATCCTCCAGAAACTGCCTGCATACTCTAGCCACATGAGGCTGGGCATTGTCGTGCGCCAGGAGGAACCCAGGATCCACTGCACCAGCCTAGTTTCTGACAATGGGTTCAAGGATTTCTTCTTGATACCTAATGGCAGTCAGGGTGCCATTGTCTAACCTGTAGAAGTCTGTGTGACCCTCCATGGATATGCCTCCCCAGACCATCACTGACCCATTACCAAAGCGGTCATGCTGAATGATATTACATGCAGCATAACGTTCTCCACAGCTTTTACAGACCCTTGCACGTCTCTCACGTGTACTCAGCTGAACCTGCTCTAATCTGTGAAAATCACAGGTTGCCAGTGGTGGATCTGCCAATTCTAGTGTTCAATGTCAAATGCCAATTGAGCTTAATGGTGCCGGGCAGTAAGCACAGGGCCCACTAGAGGACTGCTCATGAAGTCTTTCTGATTTTGTTTTTTCAGAGACAATCACACCAGTGGCCAGCTGGAGGTAATTTTGTAGGGCTCTAGCAGTGCTCATCTTGTTCCTCCGTGTACAAAGGAGCAGATACCAGTCCTGCTGATGGGTTACAGACTTTCTACTGCCCAGCCCAGCTCTCCTAAAGTAAATGCCTGTCTCTTGGAATGCTCTGGAGACTGTGCTGGGAGACACCCCCCCCCCCCCCCCCCCCCCCCCCCCCCCCCCCCCCCCCCCCCCCCCCCCCCCCCCCCCGCCCCCCCCCCCCCCCCCCCCCCCCCCCCCCCCCCCCCCCCCCCCCCCCCCCCCCCCCCCAGCAAGCCTTCTGGCAATGGCATGTATGGATGTGCCATCCTGGAGGAGTTGGATTGCCTGTCCAACCTCTGTAGGGTCCAGGTTTCGCTTCATGCTACCCGTAGTGAAACTGACCCTAGCCAACTGCAAAACTAGTGAAAAACAGTTAGAAAAGATGGGTAAGGCAAAAAATGTCAATGGCTGCCACCTGTAAAACCATTCCTGTTTTGGGGGTTGTCTCATTGTTGCCCATCTAGTGCACCTGTTAATATCATTAACACCAAAGCAGCTGAAACTGATTAACAACCCCCTCTACTACTTAACTGACCAGATCAATATCCCAGGAGTTTAATTGACTTGATGCTGTACTCTGATTAAAAAGTGTTCCTTTAATTTTTTTTGAGCAGTGTATATACACTATATTACCAAAAGTATTGGGACACCCCTCCAAATCATTGGATTCCAAACACTGCCACAGGTGTATAAAATCAAGCACCTAGGCATGCAGACTGCTTTTACAAACATTTGTGAAAGAATGGGATGCTCTCAGGGGCTCAGTTAATTGAAGCGTGGTACCATGATGGGTTGCCACCTGTGCAATGAGTCCATCCGTGAAATTTCCTTGCTACTAAATATTCCATGGTCAACTGTTAGTGGTATTATAACAAAGTGGAAGCGTCTGGGAACAACAGCAACTCAGCCACGAAGTGGTAGGCAATGTAAAATGATAGAGCGGGGTCAGCGCATGCTGAAGCGCAAAGTGCACAGAAGTTGCCAACTGTCTGCAGAGTCAATAGCTAAAGACCTCCAAACTACTTTTGACCTTCAGATTGGTACAAGAGTGCATAGAGAGTTTCATGGAATGGGTTTCCATGGCCGAGCAGCTGCATCCAAGCTTTACATCAACAAGTGCAGTGCAAAATGTTGGATGCAGTGGTGTAAAGCACACCGCCACTGGAATCTAGAGTAGTGGAGACTGGGCTAGTGTTCTCTGGAGTGAGGAATCGCGCTTCTCTGGCTATCCGATGGCGGTATCTGGATTTGGCAGTTGCCAGGAGAACGGTACTTTCCTGACTGCTTTGTGCCAAGTGTAAAGTTTGGTGGAGGGGGGATTATGCTGTGGGGTAGTTTTTCAGGGGTTGGGCTTGACCTCTTAGTTCCAGTGAAGGGAACTCTTAAGGCATCGGCATACCAAGACATTTTGGACAATTTCACACTGCCAACTTTGTGGGAACAGTTTGGGGATGGCCCCTTCCTGTTCCAACATGACTGCTCACCGGTGCACAAAGCAAGGTCCATAAAAACATGGATGAGCGAGTTTTGGGGTGAAGGAACTTGACTGGCCTGTACAGAGTCCTGACCTCAATCTGACAGAACACCTTTGGGATGAATTAGAGCTGAGACTGCGAGCCAGGCCTTCTTGTCTGACATCAGTGCCTGACCTCACAAATGTGTTTCTGGAAGAATGGTCAAATGTTCCCATAGACACACTCCTAAACCTTGTGGACAGCCTTCCCAGAAGAGTTGAAGCTGTTATAGCTGCAAAGGGTGGGCCAACTCAATATTGAACCCTGCGGACTAAGACTGGGATCCCAGTAAAGTTCATGTGCCTGTAAATGCAGGCATCCCAATACTTTTGGCAATAGAGTGTGTGTGTGTGTGTATATATACAGTTGTGTTCAAAATAATAGCAGTGTGTTGAAAAAAGTGAATAAAGCTCAAAATCCTTCTAATAGCTTTTATTTCCATACACACAAATGCATTGGGAACACTACACATTCTATTCCAAATCAAAACATGAAGAAAAATATATCAATTTTGTGTTGTTCCTTTAAAAAAAAAATGAAGAAAAGTGAATATTAGACGGTTCAAAAAAATAGCAGTGTTTGTATTCTTCTTTACAAATTCAAACATTCACTATATAAACTGAAAAATGTTTGAAGATTTCGCTTTCCTTTGAATCACTTAATTAATATTTAGTTGTATAAGCACTGTTTCTGAGAACTGCTGTACATCTGTGTTGCATGGAGTCAACCAACTTCTGGCACCTGTGAACAGGTATTCCAGCCCAGGATGATTGGACTACATTCCACAGTTCTTCTCTATTTCTTGGTTTTGCCTCAGAAACAGCATTTTTGATGTCACCCCACAAGTTTTCTATTGGATTAAGATCCGGGGATTGGGCTGGCCACTCCATAACGTCAATCTTGTTGGTCTGGAACCAAGATGTTGCACGTTTACTGGTGTGTTTGGGGTCGTTGTCTTGTTGGAACACCCATTTCAAGGGCATTTCCTCTTCAGCATAAGGCAGCATGACCTCTTCAAGTATTCTGATGTATTCAAACTGATCCATGATCCCCGGTATGCGATAAATAGGCCCAACACCGTAGTATGAGAAACATCCGCATATCATGATGCTTGCGCAACCATGCTTCACTGTCTTCACAGTGTACTGTGGCTTGAATTCAGTGTTTGGGGGTCGTCTGACAAACTGTCTCCAGCCACTAGACCCAAAAAGAACAATCTTACTTTCATCAGTCCACAAAATGTTGCGCCATTTCTCTTTAGGCCAGTCAATGTGCTCTTTGGCAAATTGTAACCTCTTCAGCACATGTCTTTTTTTCAAAAGTGGGACTTTGCGGGGGCTTCTTGCAGATAGCTTGGCTTCACATAGGCGTCTTCTAATTGTAACCGTACTCACAGGTAACTTTAGACCTTCTTTGATCTTCCTGGAGCTGATTGTTGGCTGAGTCCTTGCCATTTTGGCTATTCTTCTATACATTCAAATGGTAGTTTTTCGCTTTATTCCATGTCTTTTAGGTTTTGGTTGCCATTTTAAAGCATTTGCGAT